CGGTGCCTGGACAGCGTGACGTGTGTGGTTGTGCTGCTGCCGTGGTCCTGCCAGATGCCTCCTGCTGCTGCTGCCATCATTAGTCATTAGTCATACTTCTACTGTTATTATACACATATGACTATTGTCACACATGTATACTGCCAGATATTAATACATACTTTCAACATATTGTACCACAGTAGCCAGAACTATAACTATAATATTATTACTTTCATTAATGTTGTTGTAAGCTACTGTCATTACCTGCATCTCTTTCTCTGTCTCTCTCTCTGTCTCATTGTGTCATATGGATTACTGTTAATTTATTATGTTGATCTGTTCTGTACGACATCTATTGCACGTCTGTCCGTCCTGGAAGAGGGATCCCTCCTCAGTTGCTCTTCCTGAGGTTTCTACCGTTTTTTTCCCCATTAAAGGGGGTTTTTTTTGGGGGAGTTTTTCCTTATCCGCTGCGAGGGTCATAAGGACAGAGGGATGTCGTATGCTGTAAAGCCCTGTGAGGCAAATTGTGATTTGTGATATTGGGCTTTATGAATAAAATTGAATTTAATTGAATTAAATTAAAATAAGCTGAATACATCGGTTGAAAGACGGAACTTGGTGAAAAAAAAAAAAAAGAATTAGTGGAAGCTCTTTGAGGCCCTTCTCGCCCCTTAAAGGTGCATAATGGTTTAGTCCACCCTGGCACACAATTCCACTGAGCAGTGTGGTACAGTTCAGTTCAGTTTGTCACGCTTTTTTCCACTTCCACTGTGAAAAGTTGTGGATGGTACCAATGGAACCATTGCTTATCGTCCCCATTTTTGTTCCCCCCTCCGTCGGGGTACCTAGCACACAGATCTGGCACTAAAAGGTGGAGCTGTGAACACTGCAGTCTGCTGATTGGTCAATAGCAGACTGTCACTCTGCTCTGGGCCTAGCTGTGGCTGGTTTTAAGGCTTATGGAACCTCTATTCATACCATGGAGATTTTTATTGGTAAACTGTAACTATAAAATTAAAAAAATGTCTTGCTGCCTCTTGCAGCAGCTGTGGTCCGAGAAAAAAATAACTTCATTCACTGGGGCGACTGCTGACAACTTTTAAGGTGGAACGTTTACTTGTAATGTTACTACGACGTGAATCAATCAACACATCTTAAATATTCCTTATGACAACTTTGACCATTACTTTAATTTTTATATGACATACACTTAGTAATGAGTGGCTCTTCAAGAGTTTATGAATATTAATTTCGGCTGGGTTATATGAACTGCATATATTCTAATCCTCACTCAGAGAAAAAAACTGAGCTGAGCGTCGTTCCCGTGGGAATGGGACCCTATCACTGCGCAGAAGGAAGAGTGGGAGCTCAGTGTCAGACATTAGCCGCTGCTGAGGGGCTTCTTCTCCCAAGTGGCAAACCATGATGAGATCACACTGTGCTGTGTTAGCTCGTACTAACCAGGCAGAGAGATGAGATGAGAGTGACTCACGGGGATGGTCCTTCAGCTCTACATCGAAAGGTAAATGGACCTGCACTTGTATAGCGCTTTTCTAGTCATCTGACCACTCAAAGCACTTTTTACACTACTGAGTCACATTCACCCATTCACACACACATTCACACACTGGTGGCCGAGGCTATCATACTGAGTCACATTCACCCATTCACACACATTCACACACTGGTGGCCGAGGCTACCATACATTACATTACATTACCTTACTCAGTTTTAACACACTCACACACCAATGGAACAGCCATCAGGAGCAATTTGAGGTTCAATATCTTGCTCAAGGATACTTCAACATGCAGACTGGAGGAGGAGGGGATTGAACCAATGATCTTCCCATTGGTGGATGACCCGCTCTACCTCTGAGCCACATACGCCACTTTATGTGGCCACATCAACAGCTGATTGTCAGGGATCAGCTGCCGATACCCCTACCATCAGAAATACATTCAAATTCTGCAAGAAGCACTGAATGTTCATAGTAATAAGCTCAGAATCTGTGACAGCATCACAACTATTTTTTGCAATTTTCACTTGCAGACACAATTTAATTGCAAAAAAAAAAAAAAAAAAGCCGATAAACATCTCAGGCCTATAAATCCGGCATTTCAGACCACAACAATCCAAAAAACAGCCAGTGAAATCCTGGAGTGACTAAATAGCACAAGGGAATAGCAAAAGGGAAAAATGTGTCTTTTTAATTTTGGGGTGAACTGTCTCTTTAAATCTAAACACATCTTAATTGAATCGTAGGTGCTATATCGTAGGCAACTGGACCTGCTTGCGTTTCTTGAAGACGTTTCGCTTCTCATCCAAAAAGCTTCTTCAGTTCTTAGTTGAAGGATGCAGTACGAGCCCTATTTCCAATGAAGCAAAGAAAAAAGTTAGTAAGCAGCTTTAACTTTCTGTCAGGAGTCATAAACTGAACTTTGGAGAAATGTAATGGGTCTTTTCACATTAATCAATCTATTCCTATACCATGTCAAAATGTATGATAGTTTTACTTTTTTCAAACTATGGCATTATTGCTAATTAAATCCATTGTTAAATTCAATATAACATTGGTTATCAGGCACAGTCTGCTTTCTCCCACCATTTTAGTTCATTTTTAGTAACTACTGTACTTATCTATTATTATTATTTATTATTCTATGGTTACTTTAGGCACTAGTCTTTGCTGTGGTCCTTGAAAACATGTCTTATCTTGTATATTTCAATATTTTGCCAGATATTCAACCCTCACCCTGACCGGGAACCCACTTGTTGTTCTGGTTGTTACTGTATTTAGTGTATCTGTAATCTGAAGCATTCTCTGGCACAAGAATTTCCTTTGGGATAAATAAAGGTCTATCGAATTGGAAAAGGTGAAGTAGAATCTTCCGCTGTCTACACGTACTTAAGTGAGGCACTGCTGCCACCTGGTGGACATCTGGGGAAGTGATCAAAGTACTTAGAGCTTTTGAATTAAAACAACTGTAAATAACACAAAATATAACATTAAAAACGTGAATTCTAAGCAGTACCTTTGTAGAGAGGGTTAATTGGGTTTTATTTGAGCAACTGTAAGTTGTGAAAATGGATTTAATTTGGTTCCCCCAGAGTCCAAATATGCCCGCCACAGTAAGTAAAACCACCTCCCATACCACTTGTTTTTCAAAATAAAAGCAATCAAACTTTTATTTGCAGGCCCCATGTCTCTCATATTGGACAGAACGGCCCCTGTGAACGTTAATACATAATACAGTATATTATTATTAGCCTATTATTACTGAGACCTTAAGGGTCTCATATTAAGTTCATATTCAGTTTCATACTTTTATTTGGGTTTCTACTGAACATGCTTACATACTTTATTGTTCAAAAACCTCTTTTTTTCTCATACTGTGTGCCTGAATATACCTGCGACCACCCTTGATCTTTATAGATGGAATCACAATGTTTATTTAAAATAACCTTCAGGTAAAAATCCTCAATGATTTACATTAAAATCAAATGGTGCTGAGTAGTGATGGCCATATGAAGCGTCATGAAGCATTTTCTTTATTTTATGAGCCCACTAGATCGCACTTTTTGTTCAACAAAAGGTTGAAAGCACACTGAATTGCCATTCTTTGAGCCTCTCTCTACAAACCAAGAGTGCCATCTAGTGGGCTCACAAAATAAAGAAAATGCTTCATGAAGCTTCATTTGGCCATCACTAGTGCTGAACAGACACTGCCTCAATTAATTTGTTTTTTTACCGCCTAAAAAAGCCCTCCAAAAAGTATTGTATTTCCCATAATAATGGTATTATTTGAGAACAACTGGAAATGTGACAGTATTCAATTTGCTTTAATATTAATTCACTGAGCCCACTTAAAATCACATTTAGGTAATTTGTTAGAGACCTTAATGATGATGTATTTGCACGTCCACTACAAAGAACCCTGTCCTTCTGTTAAACAAATTTGAATTCACACTTATTTTCACTTTTCTCTGATCTTTGCTTTCTCTGTGAAATACTGGATATTTTTACTCTATAGGCCTTGAACATATTTGGTGGACAAAAATTCATATCAGTATTTTCAGGCTGAATGGCAACACACAATGCATATCTCGGTATTTTCTACAAAATCCATTAGGTGGAGTTGTGTTGCTACCCCTCTCCCCTGGGATCTCATCAAGGAATGTGAGGACTCTAAAACTTCACCTGAGCCTCCCTCGGCATATGAGTAGATAATGGCTGAATTTTCATTTTTGGGTGCACTGTCCCTTTAAGTTAGAAGCTACAAAAGTACTGAGAGCTGAATACAAAGAGACTTTTAAAAATGCCTGGTCTCCAGCAGACAGAGGTGAGTACTGTCTCGCAACGTACACAGGAGAAGTGGTGTCATTGGGGGTTGTCTGCGGTTGGCGAGATGTCCCGACTACCCACTTGAGGGTGGGCAGCTCAGCTTTTGGATCTACTCCAGAGAAGGTCCATCTCTGGGGTAGTCTAAACTGATAATGGAATCGCAAATCGGCACGGCATGCCTTTAAGTTTTGAAGGAATGAAGTTAGTAAAACATTCTTTCATTTTATAGTTAGTCTACTCATAGAAGTCTCAATGGTATGAACAGTGGTTCCACAAGCTTCAAATCCAGCCACAACTCAGCCCTGAGCAGCGTGACTGTCTGTTATTGACCAGTCAATTAACTGCAGTGTTCACAGCTCCCCCTTTTAGTACCAGATCTGTGTGCTAGGTACCCCAACAGAGAGGTGGCCAAAAATGGGGATGATACGGAACAGTACTGTACCATACTGCTTGGTGAAAACGTGGGTTGATGCACACTGTTATGCCTAATGTAACTTGACCCTATGTCAATATAAACGGTGTTGTCTAAATCTGTATCTTGCTTGAAAATATATCGATATAGTGTACAAAATCATTACATCGCCAGGCCCTAGTGAAACTGCTAAAAAGCTCAGACATCTAACACATGACTGCTTAATAGTAAGTGGTCACATGACAGTTAGACTCAGAAAACCAATTTTAATCAATTAATACATGTAATACCAGAAAGCAATCACCTCACACCCAAACATCTGACAGTTTTTAGCTAATCATTGATTGAAAAAAAGCCTTGTCCACAGTACTTTAATCCTGCTGAAAAGCAGTGGCTCATCAAGCGTCTCTGCAGCTTCATTTATTTCTGCTCTCGCCTGCACACTTGTGATTTTTGACATATTCGAGCCGGGTGAAGCTTTTCTCGCACACACTGCAACTAAATGGTTTCTCCCCTGTGTGGACAATTGAGTGTCGTCTCAGATCTCCATTTTGTGCAAATTTTTTATCACAAACTAAGCAACTAAATGGTTTCTCCCCTGTGTGGAGAGTCAAGTGTCGTTTCAGATTTCTATGGTCTGTGAACATTTTCTTACAAATTGAACAAGTAAACTGTTTATCCTCTGTGTGGACAGGCAAGTGATGACTCAGTGTTTCCTTCTGTGCAAATGTTTTACAGCAAACTGAACAACTAAATAGTTTCTCCCCTGAATGGACATTCGAGTGTCGTTTCAGGGTTCCCTTTTGTGTGAATCCTTTACCACAAATTGAACAACTAAATGGTTTCTCCCCTGTGTGGATAATCGAGTGTCGTATCAAATGTCCCTTCTGAGTGAATTTTTTACGACAAACTGAACAACTAAATGGTTTCTCTCCAGTATGGCTTTTGATGTGTTTAACCAAATTGCTACTGGTACGTTTCTGCAGATGACCCTTGCCGCCAGAGCTTCTAGTACATTTAGAGGAGCTAACTGATGTTTTTTCAGTATTACATTCCACATCACTTCTAGATACTTCATTGTTTTGCAGAGGGTTTAAATGTGACTGATGTTGTTTAGTCTCCTCCCAATCTCTACTGTCATCAGTCTCAGATTCAGAGGAGTGTAAAGTCTTGTCATGAATAGCTGGCTGTTGCACAGGACTATCTGGACTTGATTTCCTGGCTGGTACTGGTCCTCCCCAGTCCTCTCCATCAGCTCCTGTTTTTAACTGCTCTGCCTCTCTGTTCTCTTCAGTTTGGCTTTCATGAAGCTGTGAGGACTGAGCTTTCTCCTCATCATCATCTTCACTCTTCACAGGGAATGTCAACTTGATATCAGCCTCCTCCAGCCCTTGAAGCTGCTCTCCCTCCTGTTCTTCTTTAATGTGTGGGGTCTCTGGCTCCTGACTCAGGCTCCCCTCTTGCTGCTCAGTAGGACCCTCTTCTTTCACCACCGAGAGCAACAGCTGCTGGGCATCTGTGGAGAGTGATTGAATACATACACACATCTTAGAAAAAATTCACTTCATGTTAACACTTTAACTACTTATATCACTTCTTTCTGAAACCTGGGGAAAAATGTTGCACATTTTATAACAAATTTGGACATCATTCAAACCAAAACAAACTTCAGACTGCTATGTGATTTACTTGGCTGTGAGATAAGGGTATTTGATATCATATTGTTCACAATAAAAACGGTATCATTTTTAACTCCAATATAACTGAAAATGTGAATCCACACCTGAGTAAATTTAAAAAGGAATCCACATTCTCACCACCAGGCACTCCTAATCCGACTATAGCCACCTTTAGTAAATTAGTGGAAAGCGAAATTGCGTCTGTAACTAAGTGTAATCCTGTGTCTAAGTTTTCTAATGTTAGTTTTTTAGAGAGGAAAGCCCTGAAAGAATTACAGTCTAACCCAAAAATTGTCATTAAAAAGGCAGATAAAGGAGGTGCCATAGTGCTGTTAAATGCCACTGATTATGTTGCAGAGGCTGAGAGACAATTGAGTAATGATGCTTTTTATAAGCCACTATCTAACCCCATCGGACAGTTTACTGCTGATAGAGACAGAATCATAAATAGAGCCTTAGAAATGAAGTGGATTACTAAAGCTCAATATGAGTATTTAAGAGTAGAGCACCCTGTTACTCCTACATTTTATTTACTCCCTAAAATCCATAAACGTTTGGAGAATCCACCAGGAAGGCCTGTTGTTGCAGGGAATAATTCTTTATCTGAACCACTGAGTAAGTTTGTTGATCACTTCATTAAGGATATTGTAGGGACTTTGCCTTCTTACATTCAAGACACTGGTGATGTCTTGAAATTATTGTCTAGTTTGAAAGTGCCTAAAGATTCATTTTTGGTAACTGTCGATGTGGAAAGCCTATATACTAACATTCCACGTATAGGTGGTCTTGAAGCTGTGCAACATTTTTTAGAATTGGAAGAAGATTTGCAAGTTGAATTTTTAATGACTCTTACAGAATTTATTTTGAGTTGTAATTATTTCAACTTCAATAAAAACTACTACTTGCAGATTCAAGGGACAAGCATGGGCTCCCCCTTCGCCCCTAATTATGCTAAATTATTTATGGGGCTGTGGGAGAAGAAGTATATATTCATCAATAACCCCTTTTTGGAAAACATTTTGTTTTATAAGAGATACATTGACGATGTGATTTTGTGTTTTACATCTAATGAGGAGGATCTTCATGGGTTTTGTGACTATATTAATCATACTTATCCTACACTGAGATTTACTATGGAATATAGTCAAGAGAAAATTCATTTCTTGGATTTGTTGATATCTAAAAATGAAAGTGGAAAACTTGATACCTCTATTTTTCGAAAAGATACTGATAGAAATGTTATCCTACATGCTGAAAGTTACCATCCTAAGAAAATGATAAACAACATTCCTTATGGACAATTTGTAAGGTTAAAACGTATATGCAATAAAGATAATGATTTTGATGTTAAAGCAAGAGAAATGAAGACAAGATTTGCCCACAGAGGGTACAAGGGCCACGTCATTGATACAGCCATCAACAAATCTAAAGCTCTCAATAAAGAGGAACTTTTAGGCTCATCTTGTAGACTTGCAGACAACAGAGTCACTTTTGTGTCTGAATACATGACTGTGTAGACAGGAATGCTTGAGTAGATATTGTAGATTGTGGTATAACCTTTATAACTTCTGGAGTATCTCCTCTTTTGTTTATATCTCTTACATTGGCCCACTTGTTTTTGATATGTATTTCTAAAAAAATCTGACTATTTGACTATACTGTACTCACTCTCCCCTGTTTATATGAGTTGGTACAGCCAGATCATGTATTTTGCATTTATATCTCATTATTGCAATGGGTCTTAACAAGTATGTAAATAAAAAAAATAAATAAATAAAAAATAAATAAATCCTCCTTTTTGATCTATACTATTTATATTGTTCACACTCAAAATTAGAGTTGAGACATGTCAGATGATGAACTGTGCAATTGTAAAGTATTTTCTTGTATCACTGTTTTGATATCTATTTCTATTTAGTATGTACTCTCCCTTTAATATTACAGCTGGGTTATGTATTTTGTATTTGTTTCTCATTGATTGATTGATTGATTGTCTGGTTGTTACTTGCCCTGACTATTTAAGCACACACCTGATGACAATCAAGAGCGAATCTGATGAAGCAACATGCGAAACGCGTTGTTCGCTCCTTTTGTTTTTAAACATTTTTGAATAAACTCTGTGTCAATCCGGATATTCTAGTGTGCGCTGGAGGTTTTTGAACTTTTGACTAAGAATTTTCCTGGTTGACCAATAGTCATCATTTAGGTCCATTAGTCAACTAGTTGCCCGCATGTTTACGATATTAAATTAATTATTAAATTATATATTTTGGGCGGGGCAACGCAATGGTTTGAGTTGAAGGTGTGAGAAAGAATAGTATCAGTAACATTGTTAACACTGTGCTACATTACAGAGAAATACAAAACCGTACTAATGAACCTTCATTAATATAGGCCTATATTTTATCTACAAGTGCACGTCACACACTTAGCTAGCCGCCTGTTAATGATGCTGTCAGCAAAGCAGTATTGATTGTGCTAAGTGGCTCATGGATGTAGCTTGTAGCTACTTCCATGTGTCAGATGATACCTCATGTTTGTCATCAACGAATGAGTTTACATATCACCTTGGGTTCGTCCTTCAGTTTCTCAAAATGATCCCACACCTTGGATTTCCTGCCCGACATGTTATTAACTAGCCTGTGGAATAACCGCAGGTACCAGCCCTTGAAATTAGGGTCGTACACATGCCGCATCTTAAACCGCCTGGAAATACCCAAGGTTGGGCACTGGGTGCTACTTTTGGGCCTTTCTTGTGCCAGCCTTCAAGAGCGCGGCAGCAGGTTGTGCCTGAGGTTGCTAAGCAACCTTAACAAGCATTGTATAGCCTATTTACCTGAAATCCTGAGTGCAAAGCTGATCTTCTTCCAGGCGCTGTTTATAAGTGTGTAGGCCTAAAATGATCAACTTTTCCGTATTTATCAGACTGATTATTTACTGAAGAAAGGAAAGATCCTCTGATGGCTGTGATTGGTTTGTAACGTGACTTCTGTCTGACTGCTGAGGGTGGCCTCTTTCTGATATTCTGTCTTTTCAAATTAAACTCCCACATGGTCCAGTCATAAAGGTTTTGATTTATTTTGAGTTTCAGGTTCTTTTTTTTTATCCTTGCGACTAAATGACCAGTGAAATCTTGACTCATGACCTTTCTGGTCGACTAACATTTGGTCGACTATTAAGGGGCTGCCTTAATAAGTAGTGATGCCAAATGAAGCTTCATGAAGCATTTTCTTTATTTTGTGAGCTCACTAGATGGCGCTCTTGGTTTGTAGAGAGAGGCTCAAAGAATGGCAATTCAGTGTGCTTTCAACCTTTTGGTGAACAAAAAGTGCCATCTAGTGGGCTCATGAAATAAAGAAAATGCTTCATGAGGCTTCATTTGGCCATCACTACTAATAAGTACATTTTTACATTTTTATTCCACACTTGCATTGGCGATGTAAAACTATGTTTCCCATACCAATAAACCCCCATCGCATTGAACGGAATTAAACCCCACCTTAATAAAAGGCAGTGCGCCTGCGCAATAAACGCGATGTTCAACGCACCACCATTCCTGTCGGATTGTAGTGGCTGAACGCAGCTCTGCTCAGTAAGACTGTCACTATCACACAGTGAGATCCTTACAGGGAGACCCCTGAAGTTGACTCGTTTGGACTGTTGTCAGTATAAACCGAGTGTGAAGTATAAAGTATAAAGTAAAATGACCAAACCTGCTCTGTGTAACCGAAGCTGAGGGTTTAAAACAGCATCCAGGAGTTTCTGCTGCCGCTCGTTCTCCTCTTTTGATCGAGAAAGTTCCTCTTCATACTCTGCTATCGTTCTGTCAAACAGCCCAAATATCTCTTCAGCAGCCGCGGTTAGTCGCTGCTTCACCAACTCTCTCAGCACCTGGACGTTAGACATTTTAACAAAATGTCAGAATTTTTTTCTCCACCCAAACTATGCAGACTAGCGCCGTATTGCAAACTTCCGTCCCTGTCAGTCTGTTTCCAGCCAGCATGCTAAGCTAACTTCAATAGCTTTGAAAGCTACCAGGAAATGAGTCAGAGGAAAAACATTCAGGGAAAAAAGTCCAACCAGAAAGATAGAGGCTGCAATGGCTCACTGACGTTACTGCTGGAGTTCACAGATACTTTCTCCACACAACAAAAGTACTCTGATGCATCTGGACCGTCAGGCGCTATGTTGCTCAAAGAAAAACATCAGGTTTTTCACCCAGTTGGTTGGTTAACTTAGAAAGTAAAAGTCCTTAAGCTTGTGAAAAATAAGATGTCACTATTCCCCTTTATAGTCTTATTTCTTCCACTTCTTCTTCTTCTTCTTGGTATTTTATGGCGGTTGGCAAACAACGTCATGGCGCATTACCGCCACCAACTGGTGTGGAGTGTGGATCGGGAATCTAACTTAAATGTACCACTTCTGAAACACACACAAAAAAAAATCTAAAGGAAAATTAGACAAATAAATAAAACAAAGTTATATTCTCTTTATCAAATTCGTTCTCCTATGATACTGTAATAGTGTGTCATAACATTTCTCACTTGAACTTCTCTGTAAAATATCTCTTAAATCCAATCTCAGCTTCATTTCTGTGTGGCTCAAAATTAGTTCCCTTCTCTCAACATCATACTTTAGACAATACCAAATTGTGACCAAATCGTAATCTTGATATAACAGTTTCCTCTCTGCGTGATCTTGCTGTCTTTCTCATCACTCCTACTCATCTTTGATCTTCATATCTGTTTTACTAAAAGGAATTTGTATGTCAATGTGATTATTTCTTGTTGCTTTTTTTGCACACCTGTCAGCTGTTTCATTTCCACTCAGTCCTACATGAGCTGGTATCCATACAAATGTTATACTCAGTCCCATCATTTGAATTCTGAATATTGTTTAGCAAAAAAGAAAAATAGTGAGTGCTGCACTGGGTCAAGATTGTCAGGAGACAAAAAGTCGCTGAGGTGCTCTTCAAAGACAGGGAATGAATTTTATGAAATAAAAACAGGAGGACTGTCCTGATAGTAAATTGAAAGTTTCAAAAAATGTTCAATAATGCAGTCCAAACTGAAAAGTCCAAGGCACTCCGTGGTAATATTAAAAATCCTTTATTTAATCACAGGGATATCCTACGTGTTTCGACTACACGAGTCTTCAGTTTGGACTGCATTATTGAACATTTTTTGAAACTTTCAATTTACTATCAGGACAGTCCTCCTGTTTTTATTTCATAAAATTCATTCCCTGTCTTTGAAGAGCACCTCAGCGACTTTTTGTCTCCTGACAATCTTGACCCAGTGCAGCACTCACTATTTTTCTTTTTTGCTAAACAATATTCAGAATTCAAATGATCGTGTCGAAACACGTAGGATATCCCTGTGATTAAATAAAGGATTTTTAATATTACCACGGAGTGCCTTGGACTTTTCAGTTTGGACTGCATTTTTTAACACTTTTTGAAACTTTAAATTTACAATCAGGACAGTCCTCCTGTTTTTATTTCTGAATATTGTTTGTTTGTTTGTTTGTTGTTTGTATTTCCAGTAAAATATCCTTTCTGCTGTCTGAATGTCCATATTTTATGCTGATCAAAGATGAGCTGGAGTCAGAGCATATTGCTGTTTTCCAAGGTCTCACCTCTTCAACCCACTGAACTGCTGATAGTAAAGCCATCATCTCCCCTGTATACACAGATAATTTGTCACTGGTTCTCTTGCAACTTTTAATGTTAAACTCTGGAATTATAAATTAAATGCCCATTCTGTTATTTGCACTTTTCCATGCGTCTGTGTATATTTGAATGTAATCATAATAGTTACTTCCTACATAATCTTTTATCAACTGTGGGTGTAAAATGAATCCCCTATTTTTGTTTTTTTTTTGTTTCGCAGTGTGAGGGCCACGCTAGGTTCAGGAGGTATCCATGGCTGTATCACTGAGAGTGGAACTGTTGGATTTTTACTGCTGTTATGTCGAGTTCTTGTGCTTTTTTCTCTATTGTCCACCCAGAGCTTTTTCTTTCTCTCCTCTCCTTTTCCCACCAAGGCTTCAGTGTGTTTCACAAGATGTCTGTAGAGGGGCGCTTCCAGGACTCAAATTGTTTGCTTCAGGTGCTCTTTGGATGGGACAATCATATGTAGCAAAACTCAGGAAACTCCAAGGCACTCTCTTTGGAAAGCTTAAAAAGCCCTTATTGTTATGGCTTGGTCATCTTAAACCTTTAAAAACTCCGACGCGTTTCGGCATACAAGCCTTCGTCAGGGAGTCAAACAATTTTCAAACTGGAAAAGACTTCCTTAAAAGCTTTCAAACCACCAATCAGAGGCCTCCACTTAGCAGAAGCAGGTTTAGGGTTGTAGTACTATACAAAGACCACTAGATGTCCTCCTTCGCACTCAGTAGAGGAGAATTTTCATGACTAGATTCAGATTCAGATTCAGATTCAGAATACTTTATTAATCCCCAGGGGGAAATTGTTTTTGTTCCAATGCTCCGTGCAAAGTAGAAATAGAAATACAGCATGAATGGAAACAAGAGATAAAGATGAAGATATAAATAAAATACTAAAATAGACAATGAAATAAATAAAATAAAATATTAAAGTAGACATTAAAATAAAATAAA